TTTTAAAGACAATTTCAAGATATATTTCTGATTTAGGCCTATTCTAAAAATGATTCAAATAATCATACTAAATGTTGCCAATCATAATGTAAGACTTTTCATTTAGTATGCCTATTCTGACAGACAGCAATGAAAAATGTCTTTGTTAGAAAATTCTTACAATGACCATTTTCCCATTGGCAAATTAAATTGATGCCATTGGTTAAAGAACAAGTTCCATTCAAACGTTCATTCCAGTTTCTCCAGTTGACACAGTCATTTGGCCATGTGAACACTATAACTTGTATTAAGTAACCCAGCTTTGCATTTTGCTTTATCATCGCCTCTGCTTCTGTCCTTTTTTCTCTGCAGTTCCGCTGGCCACTTCTATCATTCCCCCTAGCTATAAAACACATCAAGTGCGGTTCATTATGGACAGATTTTCAACACATTCTGTGATCTTTTATAGCAATATACCTCAGTCTCTGATAGAAAAGGTCACACATTTTCCCTTATCTTTATTTCTTGTAACTTAGAATGTGTAGATTTTAACTCTCAAATGAAACTTAAATTTCATAGATAATGAGTTATCAGCAGGACTTACTTTTTTTCCTTCAAGCCATTCAGTGTGTGGCATATTTTCTTACCTAACATCTATAAATAGAATATTTGCTCAATTTATAAATGCTGGAATGTATGAAATTTTGCTTAAAACTAAGGTATTTGAAATGACATTTTGAAAATGCCAGTTAGGTCACTTAGCGTAAGAGCCTGATGTTTTTTTGAGATAGGAAAATAGCTTTGAAGGAATTATTAGAGTGACACTAACTATTATGGCCTATTTTCTTACAGTAAAAACTAGCATTCCCAGGGAGTAAGATGAAATCATAACATAAACACACACACACACACACACACACACACACACACACACACAGAGTAATCTATAAGTGGCACTTGCCTTTCTCATAGGATGTAATTTCAAGAGGCCTTGAATGTCCATTTTCTCCATTTACTTTCACCTAAGAATTTAAAAAGAATTATTACTGAAATGTGTTTTGATGTGACTTTGGTGTTCATGAATGCAATCTTTCCGTTCCATAAACTCAAATTAGAAGACAAATGTAAGGAAGGAAGAAGAACCACTGCCTGAAATTTTCTTCAGCACATGCCTAGGTAGGGACAAACATTTAGATAAACTAGCAAAGTTGTATGAGATATGCTGCTGATTAATTCTGTATTTGGTGTTTTTGAAACAGTGACCAGGTTGTATTCTGTTCTTACCTTCAAAAAGTTGTGAGACACTTTAGGCTGTAATAGTTATGAAATTTCTAATCTGGTGTTGAAAATATATTTCAGTTCTGCAAAATAAGTAGAAAATAAGAGTTCAAGTAAGTTTATCGCCTTCTATAATATTTAATATGCTTTATTTTTAAAGGTAACAAAAAAGAATTTGCATCAGGGTTATCCATCTGCTAAGAATTGTTCATAGATTTATTCTGTTTCTGAAATTGAATGCAAAGTAAGTCCATTCAATAATGTATCTAAGTATATTTTTAGTTTGAATCATGGAAGTCAATCCTTTGGGACTCCAAATTGAGGAATAGCTAATCAAGAACTGTTCACAAAATATATATTTTTAAAAAGCCCTATAAATGTTGGAGTTAGTATGTCCCTGCACTGTGCTCCACACACAGGGAGTCCCTGACTGCTTTGTAATGAGTCTGTCAAGATGTTCAATTTTCTAGACATGTACCTAAAACCAAAAAGATTACAAGTCCACATGTGCATACATTTCTGTAAGAACAACCAGAGCAATGAAAAATTGTATATCAAGCTTCTGCCTTGCTGAAAATAGTGGACTCAATATTCCTCTCCCAACCTAACAAGATTCTGGGTAAAGTGAATGGCGCAAAGGGTCCATGTCCACATGCTGAGTTTCTAACTCGGGCAGTAAGTTATCTCTAATACTGTGCCCTGTTGCTATCTGCTCATGCCTGCTCAAGTGTAGTCACGTAAGTGATTCAGCTTCAAGAAAATGACATCTTTGAAGACTAGACTGGGATTAGGTACAAAACAAAAGCCATAAATAAATTTGTAGTTGAATCTTCTGTTTGTAGGAAAATATCTAATGCATTTTAAAAATCCAAGACCTATTTAAAGCACATCAAAATCTAAATCCTTATTTCAAAAAGTCTTCTTTTTTAATCCAAATATTCTTCAATAAGATACATGCTTGCATGCATGTTTATATTTCTCATAAGCTCTTTTTTGCATCATATTATGGGAAAGTCACAATGTTTTCTTTTCTTACAGACATTGCTTTATCCACTTCCTTAAATCTGCATGGATCTGCATAAGAAGAATTTTTTCACAATAGCTCCTTATTGATTTTTTTAAACAAAATGATTAATTTTTCAGTATTTGAAAAAGATACTTTTAATTACTAAATTCCAAGAAGTATGTTGAATAAAATATTGTCATGCTATTAATATTTCATTTTGTTTAGTTCTCATCACTTTGTAAGAATCTGGCTAAAGCTATTAGGAATGATTAATTGATTTGAAAGCAGTATTTTTGCGTCTAAAATATCGGCAATGTCTTCCAAAAAGTACCGAAGTATATGGCGAGTTCATAGTTATTTATTACTTATGACAAGTGAAGGCTGAACACTAAACTCTAAGAAAATTTACATAGAGCTCTTGGTTCATTAAGTTCTTTGAAAATTTTCTCTTAATACTGGTTAACAAGAGACTAAAGTATGGAGTCTTAATTTGCTCAAATCATTAAAACTTTTATAATAAAATAAAAGAATAAAAAAGTAGAATTCAATCCATACTTATCACAATGAGTTTATGGTTTAGCTTCACCATTGATAGAAAAACATAATACTTCAAATGTTTCCATTAACACAATCTTAAATATCAAAATGGAAACATTATTTCCAAACTTAAGATGCGCCGTTTTTCTACTTTATTCAGACTCAGTAGCAGATGCTTAGAAGTAATCCATTATTGTTATAATTCGTAGTTCATGTTAGTTAGATCTGGGGAGCTTTATTATATAAAATTAAGGAAACATTTTGTTCTCAGATCATGCAATTTCTATTTGTGTAAATGGTCAATATGTCCATAGATTAAAAATAAATAAAACAAGGAAAATTTTTCTAAACTGTAAATCTAAAAGACTAATGGATTTCCAAACCCTGAACTTCGTGGTCTTTGCTACACAGGAAAATTAAATCACACTGACACACAGTTGCTCACTAAGGTTTGCTTTCCTGTTGGCGCAAAGGTCGCCCACATCACTCATCACATCACGAGGTTATTCCCCAAACTTCTATCTTTTGTTTTAGCTTAACATCAAAATACATACCACTATAATGTAGAAAAAAAAAGAGAGAGAGGAAAAAATAGAAAGAAAAAGCAGCAAATGAAAGCTATCTTGTTGTAAAAGTGTAGTTACATTTTATTCCTCAGGCTTAAAATACAAATTGAGAATTATTCAAATTAAACTTATTTGCTTTCCATACCTCAATTTTGTTATATTGTATCACAGGGAAGTGGCAGAGGCAAGGTTCAAAATTTTGCACAAGGGCAGAATCAGACAGAAATTGTTGCTCCGCTTTTGGGGACACAAGATTGTGATAAATTTTGAAAGCAATAGAAAAACTACCTTTTCAAGTTTGTTTTGTGGAGACTTAGGTCACAGTATTTTTGAAATTGGTAGAGGGGATTATTTTCGAAAAATAGCATTATTTTCTTATGCCTTCTGGTTTCAAGTCAATAGCATTAACAACAAAGTATTATCTAAAATAATTTGGAAAATAAAAGCCCCAGGAAATCCTAAGAAAATTAGCTTTCTCAGGAAAATGTAAAATGACTTGTGCATATTATGTACTTAAACAATATCTTCACTTTTGATGGTTTGTGAAAATCTTATATTTTATGTAAAATGCATATAAATATGTATTTATTAGCTAATGTAATTATAAAAAGTAGGTGTCTGAAAATCTTTATATAATAGAATATGTTGCAATTGGCAAAGCACTTTTACAGGTGTTTATTAGATCCTCACAATATCCTTGGCAAGCAGGCAGGGAAGCCATCACTGTTTCCATGGGGAGGTTTTGTGCTCAAAACTTAGGAAACCTTTGGAAAAATATCCAGAATAGTAAATGTAAGTTACCTATTATTTTACTCAGAGGCCCACACATTTTGCTTACACACCAAACATGTAAAGATAAATCTGCCAGAAGTTAAGTGTCTGGCCATGAGTAAAGAATGACAAGTCAAGGGCGCATCTGCCAAGCTGAGTCAGCTGGATTTTCAGGCCGCATTTTCACTGGGTAAGGTGGATTTTTGCTGGCCGTGCATGATGATAAGTGGATTATACCGAAGTATTAGCCAATCAGTAAACTTTTGACAAGAAATTTTAGGTACAGGGATGATCAAAAATGCTGATTTAAATGTTTGAATGCAGATATATCACAGAATAGCTTCTGGGAGAATACAGTAGCTACATTTAAAAAACTAAAATGGTCATTTTCAAGTGATTATTGGACTACCCCTTCAACCACTCACTGTATTTACAACACACACACACATGTTTCCTGTTCAAATAAACGCGGTGGGAAGGACACACAATTGTCCTGTGTTCCTGTGCTACGCTCACGGTGCACTGAACTTGCATACATCATAGTGCAGGCAGCAAACCCCCATGCTCCATCCGTTTTCAACGGAGAGAACTGGGGAGGGCAAAGAGAAACTGGACATCCTGGGGAAAGCCCATGTTCTCTAAGCACAAGACAAGGCTGAGGAGATACCGGTCACATTAACAGAGTGCGGTTTGCAGAGTCCGCCCGGGAAAGCAAAACCAAGATGAGTGTTACACCCTGTAATTCACATCTCTAGTGACTTTTAGCTTCTGTGTTACTTTTGTTTTGAAAAATAAATCACAAAGTATTGAAACAGACATCAATTTTTGGCTTAATTCAGATATCCTTAATTAGACAGTACCACAGACTTTATTGAGCAATTGAAAATATACACAAGGAACAATATCTTTTACTTCGTATGCTTCTGTTAGATTTGACTTTTTTCCAATTAAATAACCCAGTTTCGATCATAAAAAGGGCACTTGTTTTCACAGGAGCTGTGTACACCTTGCTCGGTTCAAGTACTGTGTCCACGCTTCGTCCTTGTCGTTGGTGAGGCTGTGTTTCCATTTGCTCAGGAAGCAGACTGAATGGACCCCCTAAGTTGTTCTTTCAGATTCTATTTCTCCATAGAGTTCAGCCAACTTTTTGAACTCGGGTCCCCAGTCTCCAAGGTAGTGATAATCCTGGTCCGACTGTGTCGTTGCTGAGTCCAGCGAGCTAATGGACCCAGCCTCCGATCTCTGACCCTCATAGGCGTAAGTCTGCAGAGAGTCGTAAGGAGGGACGCTGGGGTCCAGGTCGGCTTCAGCCAGTCTTTGTGTGAGGAACTCCTGAACATCTATACTCTGCAGCGTGGACAGTGTCTGATGTCTGGGAGTGAGCTTCACTTCAGGGCGGATGTCCCGCCGGTACTTGAGCTCTTCCGCGGCAGAAGGATTCCTCAAGGCTGTGATGTCGAAGGCCTCCGTGTCCTCCTCCCCGCCTCCCTCGTCATCGTAGGTGACCACATTCTCCCGCACGTCCTCCTCTGAAATGATGAGCGGCTCTTTTTTGCCACGCCTCAGGGTGATGAACAGTACTACAATAGCTGAGGAAAGATAGAAAGAGGATGAAGTGTTAGCGGGCCAGAAGGGGAAATTTTAAGATGTGACATCAGCATTTTCCAGGACCTGTCTTTTACCAGTTCCTGACCTGTCTTAAATAACACATTCCATGGTTGGGTTTGCGAAGCCGTGCCACCTTTTCCTTCTCACGTGCTCAGTCACCACCAGACATGCCAACTGCTCAGACCATGTTGAAAAAAAAATCACTCGCAGGAAATATTGCATGAGGTTCTTGAGCAGAAAGCCGTCCCACTCATTTGCCGGAGATAGAAATTCAGCTTTCTTGGCAGACGAAGCTGTGTAGTAGCTATTACTGATATTGAAGAAAATAATGCTAAAATAGAGATGTCATCTTATGGCTGCAAAATTAATGCAATTATTTTGCTCTCATTACAGATATTTAAATCTTGTTAGGTGCCCTCATTGCAGGAGGGGCTAACGGGGAGGCCTATACATTTGGAATGAGTTTGCTTTACACCTTTTAATTTTTGAAGCATTGTAGCATTTCCTAGCAGGAATGTGGCATGACATTGACCTCTGCTCTGCAGATGTGATAAGTTCTAATTACATTACTATGCAATGCTAATTAGATTTATCTACCAAGTTGGGGAAAACATTTTCAGTATCTGTGCACAATTTATGTTTTGTGATTTTTTTGTGATATGTTTTGTTGAATCATTTTACAATGTTCTTCACCTTTCTTTTTTTTTTTTTTTAATCTCACATCAGAGCCGTGCCTTTATCCTACTTAAAGGTAAGAAGGGTGAGTCTCAGGAGCGAGTCCAGCGTCAAAGCTGAAGGTCAGACAGACGGCACGTGGAAAGGTTTGGGCCACATTTCATCCGCAACTTCACAAGAGGTCATGCGATTTTTGCCAGAATACCCCACTTCATTATGTTAAAACACTACAGACGAAAGAACTGACTGAACACTTGGGCACTCAGGCATGAGTTCTAGACAGATATTGTTAAGTCTTTGCTAATAATGTTGCATCCATTGAATAAACTGGTATGAAATGGTCCGTTACTTTGGCAGTTTTTTGATATTTTTGAATCATTCTTTTGATAATGTTAAAGCATTATTTAGCATTATTTACCTCATATTGACTTTCTAATAAATGTCATTAAGTACAGTGTGAGTTATGGTAGATTTTTTGGTTCTTATTTAGATGTTTCTGTTCTTCAGATCTTCTGTTTTAAATCAGTCAATATTCTAAGGTTTATGTGGCATTCATTCAATTAATGATTATTATAAACATACTTTACTTGTAATAGTGAAGAAAATACATATAATTGACACCCACGGTTGTTAGATCTAATGAAAATACTGGGCAATAAATTAAATGTGACTTGAAGTTGTTATAAACACACACCCAAATACACTTATTATTCAGTATGTATTTCCTCATGAAATATCTCAAAGCCACAATCAACACCTTCATTTAATTTCATCCAGAGGTTTAAGTAAAATCTAAGTGCTAAGCATTTCTGCTCATTTTTATGGTTACGCGAGGTGACTGTTGCAGAATGAAAAATCTACTTCTACAAATTGCCTACTTTATGGCAGTAAATTTTCTTTTTTTCCATCAACATTCAGCTCATTTTCCTTTAGGTTGAAAATGAAAGTATGACATGAAAAAGAGTCACTAATGTGATAGGAGCATGGGGGTAATTTACATTTTTCATCAATGTTTCTGTATTGTCTCCATCTTTGTGCATATACCAAATTGTCTTAATGACATGCAAAGGCTAATGTTAATTTTTTATGATGATGGCTTATGTTTGCATATTCCTCCAAAGTTAAGAATATGTTCCTGATAGAATTGATTCAGAGGTGGCCGTCTCCCTCTTTGTAGGCATGGATATATATTCAAAGAAAGGGTCAATCATCATTGACATCTAATCGCTTATGGTTAAGAGTGAAAGGGTTTGCTATTTATAATTAGGTTAGAACATCAGGACCAACAAGTGCCCATAGTCCATTTGATTATAAGCAAATTCAAATCCACATGCAGAAAAACACTGCAATGTGGATGTTACAGTTTCTTCTGCTAAGCAGTGTGTGTGTGCGCGTGTGTGCGTGTGTGTGCGTGTGTGTGCATGTTGCATCAGCACTTTAGAGCAGATGGAAATAAGTAGACATTGTTTAAACAACTGCTTTGTGTATGACTAATGGCATTATTTTTGTTGAAATGGCAATGTGGCACTGAGAATTCTAGGGTACAGTAATAGCCTTATGAGGAAAATAATTTTAAACTTGTGTGCATATATTATTATACATTTTTAATCTTGAGGTGGTTACTAGTAATAAAAATTTCAACAAAGAACAGTTTTGAACACTTGAAAACCAAACTGTTTATAAAGAAATCCAGACACCCAAATCTAGTTTAAAGGATTTAGTATAATAGTTATTATACATAGAGATTTGAGAATCAATTTCTCATTTTAAATACTGAAAGTCAAGAAGACAATTAAAATGGCAATCCCAGTCTATGAAATAATATATTAAGCTGTTTTGAAATTTTTCTTAAGCAAAATTTTAAATGCATTTGGTTCAATTTTTGAGAAGTCCTTGAGAAGTTGATGAACATAAATATTGGAAAAGCGTAGGTTGCATTTTTCCACCTGAAGAAATCCTTTAATTCCATTTTATCATTTATCATTCTTTTAAATTTCCATTTTACTTTTTAAATTGTCATTTTATGAAGTTTTTTTTATAAAGGGTCTTTAGATAAATTAAATGTGATGTAGCAATGGTGGTTAAAATATATTATAGTTATGGTAGTTGCATTTCTTTCTTCCAAATTACAGAATATTTATGGTGTATTTTGAAGCCGATATTGGTTACATCATATGGATTTCAATTTCAATAGCCTGTGTAATATTTTGAAACTACATTCTAAGCAGAATGAATATTTTATGCTTTGTAAATTTTTTCTCACTTGACCAGATTTTCAGATAACCTTGATACTGAAGTTTTAATTTAAGAAAATTAAAATTATTGCTCACTAATTTTCTTCAGAGGGTAATTAATTTTCTCATGTTATTTATTTATTCCGATGTTATAGATTATTCAGTTTTTAGAATCATCAGGGATCTTCAGTATTGACAGATAAAATAGTTATAATTTACACTTTATTCCATTATGAATCAAATCGTGACAAACTCATACACCCATACCATCCATAGCAAGCTTAAATACAAAAATATCATTTGATTCTTTATATTGACATTATGTATTGGCCATAAATTTTGAATACTGAAGTGGTTCATTCAAGTCAAGGGCTTGATTTTTATTACAGTTTAGGTTGTCATTGACATCCCCAGCAGTGTCAACTATCATAGATAGAAACCTCGTATTTTCAGCGCAAGGGAGCCACAGTGCCGTATAATCTCCTCACTTGTTCTCTTTTCTCCAGCAGTTTACTGCAATTCTCACACTAAATTCTCTTGGATTCTCATTTATCAGGAAGTTTATGTCCAAGAGAAGTGAGTAATCCAGGTGGTGGCCTCACTTAGGCCACCTGCTTAATTGTCAAGTGTGAAATTAAAGAGCCGGCAGGGGTCTAATTCAGATCCGGATTCGATTTTTCAAGCCAAGTGTGAGTAACGTTTGCCCTGCCAAATGTCCCAGTTCCTTTGCAAAGTGACAAGATATGATTGGAGAAGAAATGTCGGGTCCCTGGATGAAAACAGGACTTCAGGTACCCGTAGTCTAGCAGCACACCCCGACCACTTCATGGCAGAAGTTCTGTCCTATGCATGAGACTGACTGGGGAGGTGAATAAGATCTCATCAGAAAATAACGAAATCCACAGGACAAATTCTTTGCTTGAAAGTTTAGCTACTCATATTCAAGCATTATTTTCCAGATAAACAATGTGATGCTTGACAATACTATAAATTCGTAAATCCTATGTAACCTGCAACGAAAAATAACATAAATCTGCACAGATGACTTGAAGATGCCTTCTACTGAAACTTCCTTTTCATAGGCTTGGAAATAAATGAAGGACCTATCAGAGCTTCCATGATAATATAGTGAATTACTGGCAAAACAGGGTTGAGTTTATAAAATCAGACATGTTAAAACTATAAAACAGTATTTTCTTTTTAAAACTATTAATTTCAGAGATTTTTAGTTGTCACTTTTGGGTTCCATATTTACACTTTGTAAAATAAAGTTTTGCTTCCTGCAGTATTTCTAATATTTGAAAATGATGAGCGCTTACATTCCCAACATTATTTTGAAATTTAGGATGATTACATTCTGAACCTGCTGGCTAGATTGTTCTAAGTGAAGACTCACTGAGGAGAAAAGTGTGCACCCCAATATTTTGAAATATTTCTCAAAGCTCTAAAAATTGTTCTCACATTTAGATAAAGCTTTAAAAACGTTAAAAAAAATCCAAGTAAAATGACAACAGTAGCACATGATGGTAAATAAGACAGAGATTCTGTTTCATCAGTGATAAAGGATCGTGTGATATTAATCTTTTGTTTCTCCCAAAGGTGGGAGAAGGTCATACAAATGCATCAATAGGAAATATTATGGCTTGGCTTTGTGACTCAGTGAGTTCAGCATGGCTTAGAACGCCAGTTCAGATCCTCGTTGCTCCACCTCCAATCCAGCTTCCGGCTGGTACAGCTGGCGAGACCACATATGTAAAATATGCCACAGATATTTGCGATCTCACATTTCCACAAAGCTTGTGGGGGCAAGCGAGCCTAAAAGCACTTCAAATCTATTCCTTTGCCAAATTTCCACTACATAATACACTATTATTTTTGAAGTGATATACATTAGACTTGTATATGTATACTTTCTACCTTTTTTTTTTTCAGAAAAAATTCTCTCTCTCTTTCTCTCTCTCTTTTTCATCTTATTTAAAAGCTCAGAGACAGACATCTCTTGCATTCTAAATCATGTTCCTAGGTGCCTGCAGAGGTGGGGTAAGGCCAGGCTAAAGTCAAAAGCCCAGAGCCTCATTAGGATCTCGCATATGTAACAGGGTTGTAAACGCTTGAGACATTATATGGCATTCATAGGAGGAACTTTGTGCAGACTTTGGGTGGGAGCCATTTTAAGAGCTATTTCAGGATGTGATTCATGGCATTTTAAGATTAGTACTTTTTAAAATGCATAGTCAAGTATTATTTGTCTCAAACATCATCCTCCTGTCTGGTATACCAAGACTTACATCACATTTGAATCAATTATTTCCAGATTAGCTTTAATATTGAAAAAGATAATTAAAAGAAAAGCTGTGCAGTTATGATTTCTTATCCATGCTATGCTTTCATAATCCTTTGATTTTGTCCAAGAGATTCTCTCTCATCCGGAATTGCCATCATGCAGACTTAGGCCACAGAATGACTTACCTAGGAGAATGACAACACAGAGAAGAATAGCAATTAAGGCTCCTGTACTCAAGCCAGCCGAGGAGAGGAAGGCTTCCGCATGGCAGGTCCGCACACGCCCATCTCTCTCGCATGCACAAACCCTGATGGTGAGGGTGCTGCTGCTGCTGAGAGAGGGGATTCCACCATCAGAGATCAGAATGGGCAGATAATACACATCCTGAACAGTTCGACTAAATCTCCTCCTCCTGGTCAGAATGCTGGCTGTGTTATCTATGACAGACATAAGCAGAACAAAATATACTTAGTGAAGCCGCCATTCAAGATTGCATTTACTTTAAATGGGAAAAAAAAAATTGGGTGTACATGATGTTTTGCCAGTTAATGAAATGAACAATGGCACACAAAGAGTCAATTGCTAAGGAATGAATACTGGCTCTCAGATAGAGAAACTTGTCAGAAAATGTATAGGGCTAAACTATGGATCATGGAAAATAGAAAACAAAGCAAAGAAGCAATAAACGTATTGGACATAAACAACAGCTAAATAGATTTAAGATACAGATGGCTCAGAAAAAGTGGTTCATAAATTCTTAGGTATGTTTCAGGGACCATCCTAAAGCCTTATAACCGATTGATACATCTACTCAATTGATATTAATGCCTAACATATTGTAATGATTTCTGCTCTGGATAATATTCCTATGAAGACACTACATCAATTCATAAACATTTGTGACTTAACTCTAAGTTGAAGTCCCGTTGTTAGAGTAAGCATACCATGAGGAAGTTAATGAAGAATGAAACAGTTAATTGTTGATTCACTGTTTGTAGATGACATATCTACACTATAATGAAATACTTCTAGCCGTCTATAGAAGTTTATAAAGAAGAGGGTTCTACATCAATGTACTATGAGGAATAGCTTCCATTTTAAATAATCATCTAGAAATAAATATCCTGAGGTTCAGCATGCAAGTTGTCTAAAATTAAAAAGCTACTGAATGAGGGCAATATAATTAGGATACATTCTTGAACCATTTTCAAATCCAAAATGTCACCCTGCATTTTCCTTCTGGCTCACTGCCAATTATAATTGAGGTCCTCTCCTTCAGGACATTTGCATGTTTTAAAAGATTATCAAAACCAGTAGCAAGAGCTTCTTTGGATCTTTCATGTGGGAGCAGCTACCTGAGGACCAGAACCACCATCCACTGCTTTCCTGGGTTGTTTGCCAGTAGTTGGATCAGAATTGATGCCCATACGGGATGGTGGTGCTGCGGGCACAGCCTTACCCTACCACAGCAGGGTGTTGGCCCAATATATTAGCATGTTTATCTCTCATTTCAGAATCTCTGTTAGCTAAAAGCTCCCCCTTTATGTGCATCATGATCTGTTAGCATCCTTTTAGGAACGACTTGATACTAGAGCTGTTGACTGCTTCCTAGTCTTGATCACACCCTTCTCAAGCAGAGTAAAGCACAGAATCCATGTCACAGAATTATCAAGGCAGGCCCTTTTTTCTGCACTATTCTGGCTCTACTGAGTTATAGGATTAGATCCAAGGCTTTCTCTGAAAGTCACCAAGGAATCATTGAGACTGCATGGTAGCTCAATCTTTCACTCTTTTCGGTGCTTGTTCCTTTTTACTGCTATCTTCAGACATCGATTCTAAGTGCACAATTCCCCGACATCTTACATTCCCAACTGCTGTTAAGTTGAATTCCCAGAGAATTCATCCTGACTTATGAATTAATTATTTTGCATTAAAAGGTAAGCAAATCTTTAAATAATTCCAATTAGAGATTCTTTTTCTCGTATCAATCCCCAGTGTACACTTAAGCTTGTTAAGGAGCCTGTTTTCTTTCTGGGTAATTATGGCGAATGTAATCACAGAAATGAATAGGAACAGGAAAAAAAAAACAACACGTGGGTAGTGTATTTTAAGTACTTCAAGATGAGGCTTTCAGGCACAAGGACATAAACCTGTCCTTTTTTTTTTTTTTTTCTCCAATTGAAAGTTTGTCTTTGGAAAGGAAGATGTTTCAGAAATCCAAGAGCTTCCGTCCTAGAAAGGCTCCGCACAGCGCTATAATGACTGGAATATACTGTACTTCACTGGAACTCCAGAAAATGTTCCTGGTAGTGCACTCACCAAACTCGAGCAAGAAAACTTAAATTTGCAGAACATGAAAGGCATAGGAAATAAACACATGCACATTTATGTAGCTATATATTTTGTGTATATATGGAACAACAGAGCCCAATCTATCTTGCTAAAAATGCACAATAAGACAAGCACTGTAAGAAATCTCAACTTGGAATGTAATGCAAAAGTAATAAGAAAAATATTTTGGGATGTATTGACATCTATCTAAATGAAAAAGAAAAATAATGTGAATTAAATAAAGAGAAAAATATAGCCGTAAGGGACAAGTGGGCATAAAAACGAATTATTAAGGTCAAATAGTGGACAGGAAATAATAATGTGCAACTGAACTGGATTCCTAATGTTAACTTTCAGAAGCATTGATGAAGGCAAGCTTTAGAACACTTGGAATTCAGGTTTATCTACCTAATGTATTGGATGAGAATATAAGGAGTTCTTGAATATTTAGAACTTCAACTAACAAGAAAACAAAAACACAGACTGATAGTTGGTAAGTTTTTTGAAGTATTAGATGGAAAAGTTAATAAATAATAGTCATCAGTTAGAGGTATTCATACATATATGCACGCGATCACACATGCACATAGGGACAAAATCAAAGGGTCAGCAAGCTAGCTCAAAGTGCTTCAGGAAAATTCACTACATAAGGAATGTCTGTGTCTCGTTACTTCCTTATTGAGAAGACTGTTTTAGTGTGTTGGGCATAATTTGGTCCCCACAACTCAGGGAAATTTTCTACAAATTGTGTGTGTGTGTTGAAAATGTAGGAATGGAAAATATTTTAGGAAAATGTGCCTTTTACAGACAATCTTTGAAATAAGATTACCGATACATTAGATAAGGATTGAAGTTTTGAAAGGTCTCTGTGAACATCTGAAAAGATTGATAATGCATTATTAAATGGACTTCTGAATAAAATTAACACCCTTGTATACAATATCAGTCTCAGAAAAATGAAGACAATTTTCGTGATCACAATAAGAGTCAAAATGCAGTTCCTTTGAAAAGTAATGGTAAATAAATAAAATTCTTCACATCTTGATAAACCTCAGAGAATGTTTATAATTAACCATAACTCTACGGGAGCCAGCACAGTGGCATGGCAGTTAGGCTGCCCTCTTCATTCCAGCATGCCATTTGAGGACTGTTAGGAGTTCCAGGTAGTCCATCTCTGATACAGCATTCTACAAATGTGTCTGAGAAATGGAACATGGCTTGAGAATGTTGGCCCAGTCTCCCACATCCGGGACACGCATGGAGTCCCCAGCACTTGCTTGTTGCTAGCCCTTGCTCTGCAAGTTGTGACAGTTTGGGAGTGAACCACTGGATAGAAATTTACTGTTTTATTTCTGTCTCTTCCTCTTTCTGTAACCTGTTACTTCAAATAAAACAAAAATAATTTTTAGAGATAATGTACATCTGCATAAATTTATAATTGTTTATATATTTATAGTAAAATCCATTGTTGATTGTAGTTACATTTTCAGTTTGTTTCTACACAGGTGAAGATCACAGAAGATGATTATAGAATGCAAGTTAATATTCTGGTGTTCAGATATTTTTAAAATTGGATAATAGTTTGTGTCCTGTCATTTGTTAGTTCAGTCTCTGAAAGTTCTTGGTATGTCCAACTCATTGCATTAGTTTAGTAAACTTGAATACAACTTAAGTGAAAATAAAATATGCTATGCTGTAAGAATATTCCCTTAGCGCAAAACAATGTTCTATTCTAAGACTCAAATCAACTTGCATCTTAGAAAGTATTAAACCTATTTATTAGGTACCTGTACATTTCCTGCAAATTCCAGTACATCATTTGATAATACAGATATAAAATACATTTTATCCCAAATGTAGCCTAGTTGGCCATTAAAATAGTGTTTTTGAATCCACTAGAACAACAAATATTTGAGATTCTCAGAAACGTATTTCTAGTTAAACCAAATCCTTTAAAAAAAAATACACTTGAAGACAAAGCTAGGAAATAGAGCCTTGACTTCTACCAGACTGAGCCATTGGCATCCTCCACAATTGCTTCTGATTTCCTAAGTCCTCCAGCAGTTCTGAGAAGCACTCAGAATTTGAACTATGCTTCAAGCCCATGCATGAAATGAAGCTGTTGTGAATTTTGCAAAGCTTCTTCCACGTAATAGGTACTTGATAAAAAATGATTTGAGCTACACTCTGCAGGAACTTGCTTTCTGCTACAATATCCTTTTCGTATTGACGTGAACTACGAAATCAAACTAACCTGTCTCAAAATACTTCAATTGCGTGATCCTTTGATGCTTTCTAATGAACGTTTATTCTGAATCCTCTTTCCTGAATCCTAGGATAGGATCAATTATCAGACTGCTTTTTGCGTATTCATGTCAGTTTGTAAACATGCTTTGGCCTCACTTGTCTGTCCGCCAAGCTACAAATGCATGATCCAGTTTGTCATTATGCTCTTGTTTGCACCCTGGAATGTCATCTCCTTGACCATCTGCCACACTCATTTTTGGTAATATTTGTATTCTGCATAAAACACATATCCACCGGGTAAGGTTTTTGCTAATAAAAGTACTTATAATTATCTCAAAATGCTTCATCAAGTATATAAAAATGTAAACTATGCTCTCAAAGAAAATAGGTCAATGAGTATTACTTATTTCTCTGATGTAGTCCCCGGATTTTGAGTATCTTTTTCCATTTTCTCTTGAGCTGCTTTTCATTCTCAGCAGAAAAATCTACCATCTATATTTAACATCACATTTTAACATCCCATCACATTGAAACAATCCATTGTTGTTTTGTCACTAATTATATCTGTACATGTGTTTGCATAAATGTGAACATTTATATAAAAATTTAAATGCATACATAAAAATAGGACAGATTTTTTTTAAAAGAGAAAAGGAAGCTAAGCAAGAGACAGAGTTCTCTCAATCTCTAGTCCACTGCCCAAACGACTGCAACGCGCTGGGCCAAGGCGAAGCCTTGACTCAACACTCTGTCTGTGTTTCCTGTGTGGGTTGGTTGATTCTACAGGTCAGGAAGTTGCATCAAGAGTGAAACAGCTGGGACTCAACCCAGCACTCTGCTCTGGGAAGCCAGCACCAGA